CATTTTTCACTCATTCTTTTTCAAGCCAGATGTTTTTTGCTTCTTAAAGGACACAAATGTAAAGAAATAAAAAATGGGAGATGTAACAAAATGCATACTTCATAGAGCTCATATTTCAAAGTTTTCTTCACCCTTTTTACTATTTGTAAGATACTTTACAAATACTGTTGCTGAATTTATTTTAATGAATTAACTCAGTTAATTGAAAACATGAAGAGAGAGAAATAACGACAAGGAGTTGTAGGGAATCAACTAACTCTTATTCTTCACACCCGCTTCTTTCACTAGCTGTCTGGAGTGAATATAGCTAACTCAACTTTTGAGCAGTCTGGATCTCTGTTCCAGTATATGACTGTTATCTTTCCAGTGCCAAGGTTGAAGAAATAGCATTGAAAGTTTACCAGTGGCTTTAGAGTCAGTTTCCATGCATATCTATAAATAAGTAATATATAGACATATACACAAGTTTTATTTATCTACTAGCACATTTTAATTTAGGATTTATGAACTATTGTTCTAAATCAGACAAGCTATCCATCTGGCTCATACAAGTGTGTAGCTTCATTTCATTAAAAATCAGCAAATTAAAAATGTAAGCTCTTCATGTACTTTTGTGTTCACTGAGGTGAGAGAAGGAAACCTTCAGAAAGCAATTTACCTTGCCTTGCTCCAGGATCAAATTACTTTAGATCAGGGTGACTTGCCTTCTGAAACTTCTCATCTCTTTCTGATGATGGCATTTAGTTGCTTAGCTGAGGTGATTTCCACAGACTTGGATGAATCACAGAATTGCAGGGGCTGAAAGGGACCTCTAGAGATCATCAAGCCCAACCCCCTGCAAAGCAGCCCCCTGCAGCAGGTTGCACAGGTAGGCATCCAGGCGGGTCTTGAATATCTACAGAGAAGGAGAATCCACAACCCCTCTGGGCAGTCTGTTCCAGTGCTGCATCACTCTCACTGTAAATAAGTTCCTTTGCATATTGGTGCAGAATTTCCTATGCTCCAGTTTATGACTGTCTCCCCTTGTTCTGTCCCCACAGACCACTGAAAAGAGGTTGGCCAAATCCCTTTGACTCCCATGCTTAAGATATTTATAAACATTGATCAGATCCCTTCTGAGTCTTCTTCTCTCAAGACTGAACAGACCCAGGTCACTCAGTCTCCTCATAGGGGAGATGCTCCAGGACCTTTGTTATTTTTGCAGTCCTCCACTAGATTCTCTCAAGGATATCCCTGTCTTTTTGAACCAGGGAGCCCAGAACTGGATATAGTACTCCAGATGAAGCCTGACCAGGGCAGAGTAGAGGAGGAGGATCAGCTCCCTTGACGTGATGGCCACACTCCTTTTAATGCACCTCAGGATCCCATTGGCTTTCTTGGCCACCAGGGCACACTGCCAACTCATGGCCAACCTTTTGTCCACCAGGACCCCTGGTCTTTCTCTGCAGAGTTCCTCTCCAGCAGGCTGTGTCCCTGTCTATACTGATACTTGCAGTAATTCCTTCCGAGGTGCAAGACTATACACATGCTCTTGTTAAACCTCATCTGGTTAATTGCTGCCCAGCTCTCCAGTCTGTCCAGATCTTGCTGAATGGCAGCACAGCCTTCCAAATGTGTCAGCCACTCCTCCCAGCTTTATATCATCAGCATTCTTGCTGAGGGTGGACACTATCCCCTCATCAAGGTTGTTAATGAAGTTACTGATCAAGACTGGAACCAGCACTGAGCCCTGGGAGACACCACTAGTCACGAGTCTCCAACCGCACCGCTGATCACCACTCTGAGCTCAGCCAGTCAACCAGTTCTTAACTACCTCACCATCTATCCCACACTTTCTCAGCTTCATTATCAGGACTGTTGTGTGAGACAGTATCAAAAACTTCGCTGAAGTCAAGGTAGACAACATCCAGTGCTCTCCCCCATCTACCCAGCTGGTGATGCCATCGTAGAAGTCTATGAGTTTGGTCAAACACAGTTTTCCCTTGGTGAATCCATTCTGACTATTCCTGATGAACTTCTCTTCCAATTGCTTGGAGATGGCATCTAGAACAAGTTCTTCCATCACCTTTCCGGGGTGAGACTGACTGACTGACCTGTAATTTCCCAGGTTCTCCTTGCCCTTTTTGAAGACCTGAGTAACACTAGCTATCCTCCAGCCTTTGGGAACCTCTCCTGTTCTGCAAGACTTGACAAAGATGATAGAGTGCAGTTCAGCAATAACTTCTGCCAGCTCCCTCAGCACATGCGAATGCATCCCATCAGGGCCAATGGATTTGTGCACATTGATCCCTCCTAGATACAAAACTTCATTTCACTAGATTATTTTTATATCTCATGGTATTAGACAAATTGTGCTTATGAAAACAGAATTTAGAGAATGAATGGTACTGTAAATGGCACTGTTTAATAGAAGCAATTATTAAATTTAACAGTTTTATATGCAAGTCATATATTGTAGCTGTAAGTTATACATATTCTGATTCCTGTTACTTCTAGACATCATGAAAGATAACATTTATCATAGAATTAAAAATATCATCTGTGAATTAGAACATATTATCTTTAATAGACACTGTAACTCAAGGGGGAAGAAGACAATTACAGTTTACAATTGATTTCTCCTTTGTCCCTAACATTTTAGTGAATAAGAACAACATGCTGGATCATTACACTGCAGTGCACACAGTTCCTCTGTTAAGAAGTTAGTTTAGAAAGGGAAATTTAAGTTCAGCCTAATGCCATCTGTAGGATTTTGTCTGTTTGTTTCCAGTGACATTCTGTTGGAAAATACAGAAACAGTTCTGGTCATGACCAGAACTTGAAGGTCTCAGTCCTATGTGAGCAGTGTAATTTCTTCTTCATCTCTCTCCCATTAAATCTTTTTTTTTTTTTTTTTTTTTCCCAGGACTTGGGTTAAGAAACTCTTAAGCCTGTTGAAATATAAGCACTAAATTTTGGGGTGCAGACCAGATTTGGCAAAATACACACTTCCTAGAGAAAGCATAGAAGCCAGAGAATTCAGATTTTTGGAGTTATGAGTTTTGAGAATGTGGGTCTTAGGCATCAGAAATGACAGTCAGGTGGTACTTAAATCCTTTTCTTAACCCACATGTCTGCTTCTCTGCAGATACGTCAGGAACAAATTGTATCAATCCAGGGTAATCTCTTACACAACAGCCTAACAGATAAAAAGCAGTAGATGTCAAATACTAGGCATTTTTTAAGGTTTCACATAACAGACCTAGCGCAAACTGGGGAAGATGGATTAGACAAAAAATGCTATTGCCTGACTAAATGTGGTTGAAAGAGCATATCTAGGGTAATTGGCACTGACTCAGGATCAAAATGGAGAGTGCTCTAAGAGATGTTTTATCAATGGCCTGTCCTGGAATGGCATAGTTCAATATTTTCATTGTTGACAGAGAAGTAGAAGAAATACAAAGCTTACTGAATTTCAAGATGGTTTAATAGAAAGAGTTAATTTGGCAGGACAGGTTTTAGTTCAAAAATGGAGTAATGAAAAGCAGAAATTCTATCTGAGAACAGTACACTGACAAATGGAAATTAGTAGGTAAGTACAGGAATGGAATTTGACTGGCTTATGAAGTGTCCCATAGGAAAGGATTCATAGGTTACTCACAATGATTCCCAAGCATGAGAAATGGTGTTGTATTGATGTACAAACAAAATTGGCATTTATGAAGGAAAAAATAAAGCTGCAGAATTCTGGATACAACAGGATGTGCAGCAAATTTGGACAGATATAACACACGCTGAGAAGAGTCACAGTGCCATATGGAAAAATTGGACCAAATGATTTTGTTTAGCCTAGAGGAAAGAGAACTAGATTATCACATGATAGCAGTCAAGTAAATAAAGGAAAAAAAAAAAGAGGTTCACCTGCTCCTAAGTGCCTTCTGTCTCCTAAAGCCCAAAAAAGAGGAGACAAGAAGTAATGGCTGTAAATTACAAGAAAGTAGCAGTTTAGTTACTCCTAGGCTGAGGACTCCATCTTGGGAGCTTTTTAAAATCATGAGTAATCCTTCTAAAAGATGATCCTACCTCTTGGCTGCACTAGGTGATCTCTTTAAAGTCCCTTCAGTCCTATGAAGGATGTCTTACTGATGTCTAAATCCCAACCAGACTATTTTCCTGTAGCAAAGGCCTTCAATAACAATAAAACAGTCTTGAATATTTTTTTTTTAGGTTATCCAGACCACGACATTATTGTGTTTGGAAGCTGTAAAAAAATTATTGCACCTGTATTATTCTGCATTAACTAAATGATGATTGAAACACCTACTTCTTTCAAAAAGAAGGTATTGCAAAATAGGCTGTGGTTTCTTTATTGCTCTTCCTGGGACCATATCGGTTCAACCATAGCATAACCTGCAAGTTATGAAACAGACAGAGCTGATGAAAATATAAAGGCAGTGGCCAGATTCATCTCACTTACCTACTCATGACTTCAGTATAAATATCCTCAGCTGCAGCATTCACTGTAATCTTCATGCATGGTGGATGGAGAAAGCTAGACAGTTTTAAGATGCTGTTCATTTGACTTTCTTTAGATGCCAATAATATGGTGAGACAAGCCAAAGTGCTTCTTCCTCTCCGCTGATTAGGCACAGCCAGGCTAGAGGAATAGCTCAGATGGGGAAATCTGCACAGCAAATACCCTCATCTCCTCAGATAAATTCTACCTGGTGTGCTGATGTCAAAGCACAGCGGTATCCACATCACAACATTGGATACACAAAAGTGCTGACTAGCAGCTTCTAGAAAGAGCTAATAACAGCTGATAACAGCAGATAAATCTTGGAGGCAGATTACATTAAAAACAATTAATATGTAAAAATCAGGATCAGTATTTATTTTTTTTTAGATGGAGAATCCATTGATTACTACTACTTTGTATATGACTGCAGTGCACAGATGATTATTTTAGATTAGAACAACTGCTTACATTGAAAAGGACAGTATTTCTTACCTTGGGCACACCAGATAAATTGTTAAAAATGATGTGTCTGGGATTATGTATATTCATTATCAGATTTTCTTTTTTTAAAGTGTTTGAAAATATAAAAGCTGAAAAGGCAGGAGCACTTCACCTCATTTCTAGCTGAAAAATGACAGCCTATCTTATTCCAGTATTTATTTTCAGTAAAACTGATTTTGTAACTGAGGGAAAAGAGAAGAAGAATCTACTGTTTTGCCCCATTCTTTTCCTCAAACCTCAATGACTGTGTTAGATAAAACAAAGTTTCTATCTTATCAAATACACACATGGTGTTACCAGTGCCTCCTCAGGAGGGCCAGGTGTCCTGACTGGGATCACAGTACCTGGCTCTCCCACCTCTGCTTTCATCTGCTTCTCACCACCTCCCTCTTCAGCATTCTTTCCCCACTGTGTTTCACTTTTCTTATAGGACTGTGGCCTGTGACAGTCAAACCCCATGGAAATGGCTGTGGTGCATGAACCAAATTAGTGGAAGCATTTGATTTTCCATTTCTATTGTAAATATTGATTTCTATAACACTGTAATAATCAGAGAGTCACAGGAGAAAAATATAAGAAAACTCTTAGCTCTGGGGCTGCTGGAAACAAACTACATAAAGGATCAATTTTTGTTTGATTATTTGAAAACCCAGACTGCAGAAGCAGATCAATACTGCCAAAGACCATCCTCTAGACATGTAGCCCATGGAGTGAAAAATACACACATCAGTTTGCGTTTCTTTCAGTTTTCAAAAAAAAAATCCATTAAATTTATGGACTAGTTTGCATATAAAACAGAGTAATTGCCCTGGTGATGTAAGATCACAAGAAGGCTTCTGAGAATTCAGTACGTGTTAGTCAGATACACTGGAGCTCTAGAAAAAAGAAAAAAAAACAAGCTGAAAAGCATTCCTCTGAATAATGGGTTGTACAGCAGTCCCTAGAGCTTCATTATAAGCTTTTTTTGAAATAGCCCCTTGGGACTCATAGTGAGACAGGAAGGAATTGTGAGGATGGAAAAAGATTTTGTTAATTCCCTTCCCTTAGTACAAAGCATTCCCGTACTTATCATGAAATTTTGAATCCTCAACAACAGTGTCCATGAGTCTTCCAAGGTAAATTTCATATTCTTACTCAAGGGAAAAAAAAAGATTAGTTTTTTTTTTTACTGGAAACAGTGGTTTTGAACATCTTCGCACTGTGGAATATTTGTAAAAATTCTTTTTGAGAATTATATGCTTCATTGACTAAATATTAACCACTTGTTTGAAATAATAATACACTGAATGTGTACTGCTGAAATTGCATCAGAAATAAAGAGTTAGGTTACCCTAAAGTAAACTGCTAAGAAGCAATTCAGAAATTCTCTCATTTCTAAGTCACCTTCCTGTCACCCAAACATGGGTTGAAAAAACCCTCACAAACAGAGGCCTGCCAACATTTATCTGGTCAATGAAATATGTAGAAGTTTGCTGGATCAAGCTCTTAATGTCCTGCTAAGCATTTTAAATACCATAGGAAAAATGCTTCATCAATATTTTATATGCATATTTACTTACTTTGTGGTGACTTCCAGATAGCTGGTATTGTCCAGACTGCACTCATTGAAATTGCATTAAAAATAAACAACGTAAACACAAAAGCTAAATACACAGGTGAGTAAGTGTGCAGATTCAAGAATTCTGCATGATTGTCACCTTCTGGAGTTAACTCTGCGTGATCTGGATTTTCTTATATTAAAAAAAAAAAGTGGTTCAGGCCAAGGAACCCAAATACCTATGACATATTTGTAATACAGTAGAAATATGAGAGAAATTAAGATGAAAAGGATAAATACAAATCATAAAGAGATTTAGCAAAAATTATTGTAGGCAGTGCTTACCCACACCATCTCACAGGTCATTGTCTTGTGGGGCAGCATTATCTCCCTAGGACCCAGTCCTGACCATCACTCCCACCCAGGGCTTGCTCTGTGGCTGGCCTCTGGCCCTCATCTTATGCTGCTGGCCCAAAGCAAGATCAGGGCCACAGGCGGTCAGGGAGATCAGCTGCTATTCTTACATCCACTGACTGTTTTCAAGTAGAGGCCAAAAATCAGGTGCCTGATAAAGTTCAACCGCATTGAGGGCTTTTAAACATGTGATGATAGGTTTCAGATATCAGCTGTGATGCCATCATGCTGTTAAGTGATAGTTTTCAACAGACCCAGAACAACCCAAAACGCTGCAGCTGTAGTCCTGAAAGGCTCCTTCCATCTACAACCTGAATCCAGAAAAGCAGAAAAGAGAGAACTGCCAGTAGTGATTGCAGAGTAAATGAGAATTTTTATGTCATACAGTGAGTAAGAAGCCAAGATACTGGTAAAACCAAAGCAACAACAACAAAATCATAGCCAAATAACAGTTTGGCAGCAGTCTTTTTTGAGCTCCATACTGATAGCAAAGCTAAAAAAATTTAGAACAAAGTAACAAGAATTTTCAGCCCCCAGCTGCTTAGCCAAAGTCACATCTCTGGCGTGTGACTTATTCCTGTAGCTTTCCCAAGACCACACTTACTGATATGATCTTTCAGCGACATACAGGGAAGGGATGTTTTGTTTCCTTCCTGAACAAGAGGCAGTTAAAAATGCTAGAAATTGTTAAGGCCGTTGTCACTGTGTCCCTAATAGATATAATTAGCTAGCTGTCTGCTCTGAAGCTGAGAATCTCTTACTGCTCTGCTATTGGAACTAAGGACAGTAAATCCAATCTCTGCACAGGCTGTTCCCCGTGCAGTAATGCTTAACCTTTTTACAAATGTGGGTAGGGTAGTGACTTTGTTATAAATGTCACCTCATACTTTGCATTAGGAAATTTTATCCAAGTTCTTCCAGAATATTCTAGGTTTTTTTTCAAGTATATGGCTTGACATTTTCCATGCCCAGCTACACATAATGAAATCTTTAATGAATTCTTAATTCCTTTAATGAATTCTTTGCACTGTTAGTTCTGTCATGTTGTCTCAAACTCAGGCAAACTGCCTGCCTGAGTGAATAAAGACTGCTGCTGTTATACAGCTTAAAAGTGCAATGTGTCAGGAAGCAGTGACCATGACTGAGAGTCTCAGGGTTTATTCAGGCCAATAAATTAAATGTGCCTGATCTCTGGTACAGAGACCAGCTGGTCTGGCACTGCCCATGTCATTACTGTATTCTCTTGCTCCTTACAGCAGTGGAACCTCATTGCAGCTGCCTTCTGGGAAAGGTTCCTGGCTGAGTTGATTTCCAACTTGTGTTGATGAATTGTTTTTGGAAAAAAAAAAAAAAAATCAAAACTGTACCACCACCTTTTAATATACAGTATGGCTTTGATTACAGAGTTTCCAGTCCCATCTGTCATCTTCATGTACAAGTACACTTCACATTCTCACTGTTCCTAAGTAAAATTGAGTTGCATGAGCCATCCTCATACTGGCCATACATGTTGGTCCAGACTTAGTGGAAAGCTAAATTTTCCTTGAAATGCCTCCTTCTGCCCAACCTTAGAGGAGTCTTCTCCCTACCTGAAGTCATGGCATCATGCTAGAAACAGTCTGACCTGGTACCTCCTAGACTTGTGTGCTGGGCAAGGTGCTGGACCAGAAAAAGCAATGCCAAACATGGGACCATTACTGTTTGGAGCTGCTGGAGAGATGAGGGGTGCCTGGGCAAGGAAAACATCATCAGATGGTCACAACTGGTTGAAGTCCAGTGAGCAACGTGCTCAGGGTTGTGGTGGCTGCTCTGTATCCGGAACATTCAAAGTCAGGCTGGGTTCCCAGCAACATGATATAGCTGTAGGAGACCCTGTTCATTGCCAAGGAGTTGAACTAGATAACCTTTAAGGGTCCACTTCAACTCAAATAATTTTATGACTCTATAATTGTACTGAGTAGTAGGAACCATCCCCAGAGTAACTCCAGGATGCTGCTCTGCATACTTGATGAGACACCATCATGGTGGAAAGAGTAATCTGTGGTTGTGTTATCAAAGACTATTATCATACATGCAAAAGTGGATAAATCAAGGTTAAACAGGAAAGCGTGATTTTACCACCCAGTAAATTTTTTGGTGCTTGTCTTTTTAACATTGAGACTGTACCTTTAAAACATACTTTCTGGTTTATTTGTCATTTAAGATAAAGTGTGCTCAAATGCATTTACACTCTCTCTGAACAGGGATGCCATGAGTATTCTGGGTACTATAACTAAGCAAAGAAATCTCTAGGAAATGCCATTTAGAAATAGAAAACTAACAACGTTTGCAGTTAAGTAAACGTCTTTGTTTGTTTCAGATATGATTGCCACAGGTAATCTTTCATGTGGAATGTAGGGAGGATGGAATGTGTACATGTTACTGTTACTAAATCACAGTTATGAGCAGCTGCACAATATTTTCCTCTAGTATTGTGGAAAAAAAGTGAGTTTAAAACAAAAACAGGCTGTGTTTTATTTCAAATGTACCGAATGTTCACATCTGAGAGATCTCCCATAGAATAATAGAATCATAGAATGGCTTAGGTTCAAAGAGTCCCTCAGGATCACCTAATTCCAACTCCTCTGTCATGGGCATGCCACGAGATGCAGATGCCCAGGGCCCCATCCAACATGCCCTTGATTACATCTGGTAACGGGGTATCCACAACTTCTCTGGGCAGCCTGCTCCGGTCTCTCTGAGCAAAGAATTTCTTCCTTGTAGCTAAATTAAATCTCCCCTCTTTTAGTTTAAAGCCATTCCCCTTTGTCCAGTCACTACCTGCCTGTGTAAAAAGACAGTCTCCATCCTTCTTATATGCTCTCTTCAAGTACCAGAATGCTACAGTGAGGTCTGCCCAGAGCCTTCTCTTCTCCAAACTAAACAAGCCCAGCTCCCTCAACCTTTCTTCATTGGAAAGGTGCTCTAGCCCTGTGATCATCTTTGTGACCTTTTCTGGGTCTGCTCCAATAACTCCACATCTTTCTTGTGCTGAGGGCCCCAGACTTGGATGCAGTACATGAAGTGGGGCAATCACCCTCCATGCCTATTATTCCAACAGGAATCACAGCATGTCTTTTATATGTGATATACTAGACACAGTAGAGGAATTTGACAGTCTTCTGAATGGAAAAATTGCCATGGGGGGGGGCTTAAAGCTGTAATAAATTACATTTGGATATCTTGCACAATCAGTGTTGTTTTTATTCACAAAGGAGACCATCCTCCAGTAGCATTACTTGTTATTTCAGTAGGGAATTTATGTAAAATACAGTTCAAAACTTAACAAAGTTTTAGGCATGGAAATAGAGTAGATGTTCTCTAATGTGCTTAGAAAACAGAAGTGACATTTATACTTCTTTAAAATGCTGATTAAATCAGAAGTACTACAAACTTACTAAAATAATCTATCCTTCACTTTGCAGAAAGATCGAATGAGATATTCACAGATAATAGGTCAGACGGGGAGACTTAAAATGAGACAACCTTTTAATACAGAGCTTGAATTAAGTTTTGTGTATTCATCTGATCCCATATTCTAGTTATGAGATTTGGCGGCACAATATATACTCATTCTATCACGCCAGTATGAAACTCACTTGTTGTTTGACATCAGTCCTAAGTGTATCTTAAAAAAAAAGCTAACACAAGATTACAAATGGGTTGAAATCAGGATGATTACATTTTTTTGTTACATCTGGCATTCCGTAATTATTTCAGTGTCCTATAATGCAAGCAATCAAGTCCATAAGAAATGGATTATCCATGCATGTATCATTAGGCAAATCCAGACGCTTCCAGACTAATAAAATCTGTTCTTTCATATCCCAAAAGCACGCAACAGTGTCTCCATGACTCCCTGTACTCTTTGGTATATTTTAGAGCCAGATGCTCTGATGAGATTGCAGTGCCACTGTGAGGACACACATTCACATCACCAGCAGACACCAACAACATCCTGTGCCCATTACTTTCTTTAAATCATTTGGACCTATTGGTCTGTGTGCAGTTTAGACAGTCAGCAGACTAATGTGACTTTGGCTGGCAGTCCAAGGCCGTATGATGCTTGGATTCACACCACAAGTACTGGGAATAAGGAAGTGTACTTGTTTTGAGGATGGACAAAAATGGCCACAATTGGGATTGAAGTTCAAAATGAACTGTGACCACATATTCACTAATCAATTAGAAAATCTGTGTGGCATTGCATGACTGTTTATTTGTGAGAAGTGCTCCCATTAAATATCCCATTAAATATCCCATTGAATATAAATAGTAATACAACTGATAATAATTCAAACAAACTATAGCTACTTTAAAAGTAGAATGGTTTTTTGTTTTATTTTTTGTTTAAGGTTGTTTTATTTTGTTTTCTTTTTGGTAATGTCTGTCTTTTCATTTAGGAGATCGTGCATGCTGTATGTTTTATCTCCATAAGACTCTTCCAAGTATTGTTTGTGACTCTCTTCTCTATTGTCCTGTCCCTCTGAGTCCACCTAGTTCTGGCCTGGGCCATATGTCAGTGTTTCGGACCATGGTTTGGTGCCTCTTCAGCATCTCTTAAAACCTGAGCCCTAAATTCTGAGCTATCAGTTCTTTTTACAGAATATGCTGGCATATGTGTTCTGGGATTACATGATTTTGGGGAGAAACTGCATCTCTGATTTGAGGGTGCCTTGCAGGTACATTATGAGTGTGCATTGGGGCATCTTGAAGACAGTCCAGGCTTCTATATCAGTTGGGCCCAAATAGCTCAGCTAAACATAGGCAAGATGGTGAGGTCATGGTGAATTCACAGCTTTAATTAAAGGAAACTTATATTCTCAGCACCAGGCCCTGTCTCTCTCCATCTGTACCATTGTACAATATTGCAAGATTTTTAAGTCCAAAAAGAGAATAATAATTTTAGGCTGTGGTTGTCTTTGTTTCCACACAAAGAGAAAACAACAAAGACATATCTGGAAATAGAGCATCTCTAAATTTTCTCCTTGGTTTATTTTTTTCTGTGGTTGTGTAGGAAGTTCAGTAGCTATTAAGTATTCATGAGGAGCTCATCAGGTCAGTAAAGAAAAAAAGATAAAATTAGTTCAAAGACAGGTCAAGAAAGGTGCTTGCATGTAGAAATGAATCCCATGCAATTCTATTCTAATGAGTGTTTTC